GTTTCTAGAAAATGATTGAAGACCTTAAAAGTGCGTTTTTTAGCTCTATATCCTCCATTTCTGTCATGTTTCTTTGTCTCCGCATTTTTTAAGCTTTCTTGGTGCACCCCCTTGTGGTCTTTGTGCGGAGTCTTGTTGTAGTTAAGCCTTGATTGTTGTAGGCAATACTGGGGGTGATTTGCCCTCCAGGCTAACTGGCTATGAGAGTCAGCTGTGTCTGCAGTGGGAGAGCTTCTGTGCTGGATCTCTAGGGCAGTGCTAATCTAGCGTTTGCCTAAGGCTACCCGGCAAATGCCTCTGTGCAGGCCTTGGGGGGGGCGGGTCCCTGAGGATCTACAGGGCGGGTGGAGCGAGCAGTTATGACTGCTCTCTGTTCCATCCCCAGGGGCTCTGCCACTCAGAGTCTCAGCATCTGCTGCAAACCTCGGAGAGAAGGCTGCCTTCGATTTTTGACCGAAGCCAGACAGTCCCGCTTCTCCCGTTTGAGTCTGGGTCCCTAGAGACTCGCCCGGATCTGGAGATCAGAGTCTGAAACTCCCTCCCGATTGAAAACAACAACCGTGCCCTCCGCCACGAGCCCGCTTCACATGCACTCCGCACCTTAGTATTTCACTTCAGCACTGTGCCTCCTCTGAGTCTCAGTATGTTATTCTCTTTCCTCCTAGTTGTAGAACTTCCATTCAGCCAGCCTTCCTGTGGTTCTGGATGATGTCCGTTCCGTCTTTTAGTTGTATTTTTGAAGTGGTTGTTCGAGGCAGCAAACTCCAGCGTTAACCTATGCCGCCATCTTGGTTCCTCGAGGCCCATTCCCCAGGTTTATCTTGATAAAAAAATTTTTAAAGTTTTAAAGATGATAAATGCCAGCACTTTGCAAGATTGATGGGAGCTGAGAAAGAGACCATATAATTCTTATCCTTTCTGTTCTCTTCTTAGGGCCTGGCATATCTCAATACCAATGTCAGCAAATGATATAATAAAAGAGATCAGAGGAAATCAGGTGACTTTTCAAGATTGCTTTGTTGCAAACATCCTTTTCCTGCTGGGCTTTACTTGGTTCACAATACCTGAGGTTCCTGGCTTTTTACCAATCTCTTCACCACTTGGTAGTCAGTTAATGATAGCCTGGGATACCTGTGCTCCAGCATCTATTGTTCTGGTAGCCGATATGGAGACCTTTCAAACCAACGATTCATTTCGTACTTGGACCAGAATCAGAGTGCCTCCAAACATCCTGACTGACGAAGAAAGAAGCAATGTGTCTGATGTGAACCTATCCCGTGATGGGATATTTTTTTTAATAAATGGTATCCTCTATCTAAAAAGTGTGACCAGATTTGCAAAACTGGGAAGCAAGGAAAATCTTCCTGAAGGTGAAATTATTGGCATTAAAACAAGAAAATGGTGTTGGCACAGCTATTTAGCGAAGGTTAGTAAAATACTACATATATGTATTTATACTTACACATTTAGATATTCACCATACCTTTCAATTCAATGAAATATTAGTCTATACTCTGCAGGGTTTTTTTTGCTGAGTTATTTTACATGGCTGTCAATAGCTCTATCTTCCTGACTTAACTTCTCAGAGCCCTTACAGAGCTATACCTCTGACAACAGAGAATAAAATGAATCTTGTGTCATTGCGCAGTGTCACTTAGTCATATTATGAGAGTTTTGTTTTCTCTTGTCACGCGCAAAAGGTCAAAAAGTTATTTTCCCCAAACAAAAACTCCATGTGCTCTCAAAAATGAATTAACTCTTTAATTTCTGACAATAGAGTGAATAAGATATCCTTAAGCTAGAGCATTACAAAACACCTGAAATGCTGCATAGAAATTTTTAAACTTCTTTAGGCACATAACTGGGCTTCTGTGGAAGTAAGGACAATTCCAAGAGGAAAGTGGAGTCCTGGAGCACTAATTCAGAGACATAAGCAAATGCCAAAATCTCGCCTCCCGAGGCCAGTGCTGGTCCCAAGCATTTAGACATTTGGTCCTTAGAAACAAAGCCTGGTACCTGAGCAAGGGAGGGCATCTGGTAATTCTTTGCATTAAATAGGAACCTTCCAAAATGTCCCAACATAATTAAATGTATCTCAGTTTTAACTTTTTTTTTAATAATTAAATCTTTATTGTTCAGATTATTACATTTGTTCCTCTTTTTCCCCCCCATAACTCCCCTCCTCCCAGTTCCCACTCCACCCTCCCCCGTCACTCCCCACCGACTGACCTCATCCATAGGTGCATGATTTTTGTCCAGTCTCTTCCCACATTTCCCACACACCTTCCCCCCGCAAGCATAGTCAGTCCATTCCCTTTCTATGTCCCTGATTCTATTATAATCACCAGTTCATTCTGTTCATCAGATTATTTATTCACTTGATTCTTAGATTCACTTGTTGATAGATGCGTATTTGTTGTTCATAATTTGTATCTTTACCTTTTTCTTCTTCCTCTTCTTAAAGGATACCTTTCAGCATTTCATATAATACTGGTTTGGTGGTGATGAACTCCTTTAGCTTTTTCTTATCTGTGAAGCTCTTTATCTGACCTTCAATTCTGAATGATAGCTTTGCTGGATAAAGTACTCTTGGTTGTAGGTTCTTGGTATTCATCACTTTGAATATTTCTTGCCACTCCCTTCTGGCTTGCAAAGTTTCTTTTGAGAAATCAGCTGACAGTCATATGGGTATTCCCTTGTAGGTAACTGAGTTTCTTTCTCTTGCTGCTTTTAAGATTCTCTCTTTGTCTTTTGCTCTTGGCATTTAATTATGATGTGTCTTGTTGTGGTCCTCTTTGGATTCCTTTTGTTTGGGGTTCTCTGTGCTTCCTGGACTTGTAAATCTATTTCTTTCACCAAGTAGGGGAAGTTTTCTGCCATTATTTCTTCAAATAGGTTTTCAATATCTTGCTCTCTCTCATCTTCTGGCACCCCTATTATTCTGATGTTTGTACGCTTGTAGCTGTCCCAGAGACTCCTTACACTATCTTCACACTTTCGGATTCTTTTTTCATTTTGCTTTTCCGGTTGGGTGTTTTTTGCTTCCTCGCATTTCAAATCTTTGACTTGATTCTTGCGCTCCTCTGGTCTGCTGTTGGGAGTCTGTATAATATTCTTTATTTCAGTCAGTGTATGCTTACTTTCTAGTTGGTCCTTTATCACACCATCCAGGGTCTCATTAGATTTCCTGTACATCTCATCAAGTTTATCGACAGCCTCTATTAGCCTCTTGAGAGAACTCAAAAGTGTGGTTTTGAATTCTATATCCAGTAGCCTGCTTTCCTCCGGTTCTGTCCTTTGTGGCCTGTTTCTTTGTCTTGGCATTTTTTTATGCTTTGCTGTGTCGATAGAGTGGCTTTCCGTGCTAAGTGTCCCAATTACCTGAGGTAGACACTCTTGGTGCACCCCCTTGTGGTCTCTGTGAGCAGTCTTGTAGTCAAGCCTTGATTGTTGTAGGTAATTACTACTTGACCTCCAGGCCAACTGGCTGTGAGAATCAGCTGATTTTGCAGTGGGAGAACTTCTGTCCTCTAGGGAGGTGCTAATCTAGCCTTTGCCTGAGGCTATCCAGCAAATGGCTCTGTGCAGGGCTTGGGCGGGGCGGGTCCCACAGGATCAACAGGGCGGAGGAGGGAGCAGTTATGGCTGCTCTCAGTCCGTCCCCAGGGGCTCTGCCTCTCTGTCCCAGCAACCGCTGCAAACCTCGGAGGGACCGAAGCCAGACAGTCCCGCTTCTCCCGTTTGAGTCTGGGTCCCTAGAGACTTGCCCGGATCTGGAGCTCACAGTCTCAGGCTCCTTCCCGATTGAAACAGTCAACCGCGCCCTCAGCCACCAGCCCCCGCTGTGCGCACTCTGCACCTTAGTATTTTACTTCAGCACTGCGCCTCCTCTGATTCTCGGTTCCCCCTAGTTGTAGAACTTCCACTCAGCCAGCCTTCCTGTGGTTCTGGATGATGTCCGTTCCGTCTTTTAGTTGTATTTTTGAAGTGGTTGTTCGAGGCAGCGAACTCCCGCGTTAACCTATGCCGCCATCTTGGTTTCTCCCAGTTTTAACTCTTAAAAGGCCAGAAAATGTCTGTCTTTGGAATTCATGACCAAAAACCAACCTACATGGACTTTGGGGCCCAAATTCACAGTGGACCAAGAAATATCAAGCCTAGTGCCAGGCAGAAGCAAACACAAATCCTTTCTGGAGGGACAAACCATAAGGTCAGGCTTTGGAAATTTTCCACAAATAATATTCTGGCAAAATTGAGCTCATATTCAAAAATGGCAAAATATCTGAAGAAATAAGATGTCACAGGAGTCAGCAGAAACAAAAAAGAGCAGAGTCAACCCTGCAAGGACATCAGATATTGGGACAGACAAATATGAAATATTTTTACCGGATTTAAATAAATTGAAAGGAAAATAGAAAACATTTTTTTAAAAGTCTATCAAATAGCAAGGCAATGAGTAATACTAAAAGCAAGGAATTCATTACCATAAAATTTAGGATAGTGGTTATCCTGAAAGGAAAGATGTAGTGATTGGGAAACAATATCAGTGGCATTTGGGAGTTCTGACAAGATTCCATTTGTTAGATTCTGCTTTGTGATAAATCTTTTAGCTACATATAGTTCCATTTGGTCCATTTTCTGTATGTGAATTCTATTTCAAAATATATTAATATGTAAAAATAAATGTTGAAATATAACATTTCATGTAATAAACTTAGATAAAACTAATAACTGAAATATAAAATTCAATGGAAAGCTTAAATAGGAGATTGCATATAACAAAAATAATTAAATTGTAAATTAGATAAGAAATTAAACAAAATGAAAAGGTGAGAGAAAAAGGGATAGAAAACAAACAAAAAAAGAGAGTAGCAGAGAAAGATGAATGAAAAAGAGAAAATCCAGTATACATCTAACCAGAATTCCAAAATAAAAGTTTAGATAGAATGGGAAAGAGCTGAGAATTTTTCAGAGTTAAATAAAGATATCAATAGTCAGTCCTGAAATACTAATAAATTCTGATTGATAGAGGAAAAAAGAAAGCCCACTGAGACACAAAATAATATTGCACGGTATCAGAAACTAATAAGAGATATCAAAAATATTCAAACAGGAAATACAAACTATAAACAAAGAATACAACAATTAGATGATACGAATGGAAGTCAGAAGATTGTGAAATACTTAAATAACTGAGGTAAAGTTCTTGTTGGCCCTCAGGGTGGGGCCAAAGTAGGCTTACAGTTGTTTGTATGGAAAAGATACAACAATTAATGAATAATACAAGAATAAACTCTATGTTTTGCATACTCGCAGCTATAAACCTAATTTTGCCCCACCCTGTATTTATCCTGTTGAGGTTCAACTGAGCTTCTTGGATTTGGGGGATTATGTACTTTACTAATTTGGGGATGTCAGAGCAGGATCTAATTCTAGTGGGAGAGCTTGCTCCTAAATCGTGCTCATAGCACTAATTGTGAGAGCACTCACTGCTCTATTCTGCTGACTAGTCCAAGTGTGGGAGTACAGGTCCTGACCCTGCCCTACTATGCTAACTGTTGGGTCCGAGCCCCCCTGTTCCTGGGTGGACCTTCTTGGACGCAGGGTAGTAGACAGAGAAGCCATGAGAAGTTGTTGGTGTATAAGAATGAGTCTCTATTACAGAAGCTAGTGGCCATAAAACCATTAGACAAAACAGTTCTTCAGAACAGTCTCATACAGGCAGCCACACACCAGCTGATGAACAAATGCATCTTTCTCACTTAGTAGCAGTAGCCTCTGTACTCACAACTACTATCTGAGCAGCTGCATGCTGCCTCTAGACCAGCGGTTCTCATCCTGTGGGTTGCAATCCCTTTTGGGGTCGAATGACCCTTTCACAGGGGTTGCCTAAGGCCATCGGAAAACACATATATAATTACATATTGTTTTTGTGATTAATCACTATGCTTTAATTATGTTCAATTTGCAACAATGAAAATACATCCTGCATATCAGATATTTACATGGCGATTCATAACAGTAGCAAAATTAGTTATGAAGTAGCAACGAAGATAATTTTATGGTTGGGGGTCACCACAACATGAGGAACTGTATTAAAGGGTAGCGGCATTAGGAGGGTTGAGAACCACTGAACTAGACCCATAGCCTCACATAGTAGCGGCACCTGAGCTCTCCCCTAAGCAGCCTCAGTAGCCTCTCTAGTCTCTTCAGTCTTTTCCACACACTAGCTGGTCAGTAACGTATTATATCACTTAGATAAAAACAGGCCTCTTGCCAACAGTGATACCAATCATTTGGGTTATAGAAGGGCACAGTCTTTGGACACCCTGATTAAGATTCCCATGCTCTGCCGAAGCCGGTTTGGCCTTGGTGGATGGAGCGTCGGCCTTCGGACTGAAAGGTCCCGGGTTCGATTCCGGTCAG